CACTGCTAAGAATTTTTACTGTTTCCCTCAATAAAAATGGCATATAGGTATATTATGCACGTATACGTATGGTCGTTCGTTTAAATCCAGGGAGACGCTGACTACTCGTATAGACTACCGAATGGCTTCGGGAGGCTGAAAGGAGGCAAATTTATCCGGGCCAGTTCAGGAGAAACCGGAATCCGAACTGTCAAGGAGAGGCGAAAAAGGCTACTAGGGAGTAGGAGGTAAGAGAAGCTCGATATAAAGCGACTTGGAGCATGTGTCAATGTTCTGGTTGGCTCGCGTCATCATGGCGACGGCGCACCTTGGTGTAACCAGTCCTGCCTAGACCAGTGTGCCAGCACGTCGAAGAAGAGTCTCATCGCCTGGGCATGCAGGACGTCTTGTACAATTTGCTCGAACATGACCGCCTCGGTGAGGTCTTTCGAACTAGACACACTCCACGGGTTGGTAGGAGACACGTGTGCACGTAGGATAGGAATAAGTCGCTGGGAATAAGATGATAAAACAGTTTGAGGCCACGTGGTTAAAAATGATAAACCGTACGAGATATCCTGAAGGTGGAGAAAAGAAAGGAATATCTTAGTCATCGGAATGAAGTCATCACGATGAACTACGAGAGTTCTTAATATCCGACCGGTGTACAGGTACTCGTACAGACGGTAACGATCAAAATCGAAACTATGACCGACGCCTTTTGTGCAATCCTCCAAATAATCCACGCCCCTCGCTAATAAAACTAATTACGGTATCCATCCGGTCCCGGTGATCATCCGATAAAGTATAATAAATGCCGTGGAGTTCGGTAGTTCTTTGAGCGACGTGCGTATAGCTATGAGGTATAGAAGAGGATCGGTAGCCCCCGTGGAAGTCTTCGATAATTCAAATAAGGGCCCCGAAGGAATGCGTCTTCGTGGCTCTAATGATTCCTCGGCTCCCAAGAGCCACCCGGGTCCGAGATGATATCGCGTAAGGCTCAAAGTTTTTCAGTGGGCTACTGCTACGGGGTAACCTGTCGACAACCGATCGGGAAATCTTCCACGAGGAATTGGTGACTTGTTCCTTGCTAATGGTCAGGATCGACCTTAGATTAATAGAAGGCCGTGGCACGTAGCATTGCCGGCTCTAGCTGGGTACTGTGGTACACGCGGGTAGCTGTGGCGGATAGATATAGAGGCGTAATAAAATAAAAGTGCCCGAACGCGATTTCGTCCTCTGCTCGTATACGCGAAGGTGTTGCCGTCGTCGCGTCATTCTCATTCAAGCAGGACTTCCTTTTGATCGCGCGTGTGAATGCGCCCCAAGAAAGAGGAAGCCGGCTCCATCTCCATTGTATCCTGATACGTACGACCTGGATGAATATTCGAGTAAAGAGAGCGCATGGTGTTGGCTCCCGGAATGAATGGGCGAGTGATGTTTGTTTTGAGTGCAGGTTCGCCCTTTGTCTCAAGGGACGCCGCCGTTTTCCAGAGGGAAAAGAGAGAGAGAGAGAGAGAGAGGGCTCTCACGCCGAGATGAAACGAGAGCCATGAGACATATAGTCAGGGCCGTCGTGTGGAGCGAGTAATGCATGGGGTTTACAATTTTATGACAGGTATACTTTTCTTTTTTATTTTCGTTTCTTCGCACCTTTCGCAAATTTTTTTTTTTTCACGCCATCCGATACGCCGGTACAATCGTCAACGAAATTCCTGTTGATCCGCATCGCGTGGAAGCATGCAAGCTCTCTGGTCTACCGTGAATAACTTTGAGGAAAAAAAGGATGATCTTCGAGATGGAAGAGACGGAGGAGAGTAGGACCCTGTAACCCTTTGATTCTGGAGCACGCACCGACTCGATAGAGACATTAGCTATGCTTCTTGTTCTTGCTCGACCCGGTGCGCAAGGCCCAACGAAATCACTACTGTGACGGCCCTGTTATGCCAGAGCGGTTGGGAGCAGCATCCTGGGGTGTAGTTCCTTTAGGTATCTATATAGGTATATATGCTGGGGCCTAGGTGGGACCTGTGGAACGGTGGGGCCTTGTTGGCACGGAGGCTCGGGAGAGGTTTGTTCGAGTAATTAAAAGCTTAGTTTTAGCTGAGAGTTCTGTTTGCACTGGATAGGCCCCCGCTGCCGCTCTCCGAACTCCGGGAACAGCGTCTAGGGCCTGAAAATTCTGGCAGGTTGACACCTCCGCTTACCGAAGACTCGAACGGTCCTAGAACCTGTACCGATACGAGTTTCTTCTTTTATCTTTTGATCCTCTTCGTCTTTTTGTCTTCCATCTTGAGGCTACTTTTTTTGGACAACACGCACGAGTTCCCGCCGCGACTTCGGCGGCCATCGTCGCCGTTTTGCGGTACCGCCTTAAGAACCACCTAGCAGCTTCTTCTTTATTCACCGAAAGAAAAGTGGCCCGAGTTTTGCGCCACTCTCGGGCCGCTAATGCCCCCAAGTGATACATTTCTATGCAAAAGACCCTAAGCACCGGACCCGATTAAGATTCCTGGGTATCTCCACGACTGCTTGGGTCTCCCCTCCGGTAGGTAAATCCTGAAGGTTTTAATACGATGGACTCTCGCGTCAAGTGAGATAAACCATAGACGTGCAGGTGCGTCCACAAGTCTAGAATTCCTACTTTCCCTATTTAAATAGACGCTTTAAATTCCTTTACACTGTCTATGGGACTCGTGTCGAATTATGAGAAATTTCTTTTTTTTTTTTCTTCACAGAGTGTCTATTTATTTTAATAGGACCCCGCGAAGTGGGACTTACTCGGACTCTTTCCTGACGCGGGTGTCGCCATCAGTCGGCACTCACTAAATTACCGGGACGTTAAGAATCCGAGCGCGAAGGTAATTCCTGCAGTGATGCGATATCGTAGGGTCGCATCTCCATGACAAATACTGGCAGGACCTCGCGCGGACGCAGATCCTATCTGGTCCCCGTAGATAAATCGACCCACGTGTAAGGGGGCCCAGTGTGCACGTAACACGTAGGTAAGAAGGTACGTAAAGGCTTCTTCGTCCAGGGGCCCATACCTCTCGCCGACCCCGCGTTAACCTCGCCTGTCCAATCCGGACCGCACAGCCTAATTAACTCTACCGCCACCCTCCGACACGGAGGGCCTTATCGAGCCGATTAATAGAGGGGGGGGGGGTGCCTTATCTTGGGAATTAGCTTGTAGACAAGAATTGAAAAACGTGAGCGCAGACTCGTGTCTCTTATCTGGTCTCTCGGGTCCGCGTGCCTCCAAGTGTAAGGAAAACAGGACCGGTCAGCATGGCGAACATTTTTTCAGCCTTACCTTCGTTAATCTTCACAGCGTGCAAAACCAGTCGAGAGACACTCCCGTTGAAACCTCAATGCCGATAGGACCCGACTGTTCGCCGGCTTAAGATTGTCAAGCGGCGATGAGTCTGCGAGAGGAAAAGATATTAAAAATTTCGTCACGGAACATTAAGGCAGGGTACCCGGAGAAAGGCGCCGCCAATCCTAATTGATTTGCTCACCAAGATCCCGCAGGTCCACGGCACGGCGAAGCTTCCAGTAACGTTGCCGTCGCGAGGGACCCCTCTTTTATGGGAACTCTCAGGCCCCGATCGATCCGGATTGCAGGGACCCCGTTTGACCTCCCCATAAGCAGGTGCTTCTACAGGAGCCCCAATTAAGCTTTATAGATGAAAAGGAGTTGTAAGTCAGTCGCCTGACCTAAAGCCGGGCGAAGAACCAGCTACGAACTCTATTTCGTTTACGCTTGGAAGTGGCCGTCGGGCCATATATTTATTTATGTACAATGAATAGCTCTTAACCTCAATAGAGATAAGATAAGCCATATACGTGTACAAAGTAAATACCTACAGTCAAGAATTAACAGTCCGTGACTATAAAAAGATATAATATAATTGAACCTCCAAAATAATAACGATCCAACCCCAATTTTCGAATCGTCAATATCATTTTGTAGATCCACAAAAATTCCATAATTTTCCTTTCCTTCGGATTCTAGTAACGTAACCTAGAATTCACCATCTGCTGGCTGATCACGCGCACCCCTATCCTGCTCCACTTAGGCGTTTATCGCTCCGAATGCCGATACCCAAGAGGGCGCAGCTGCGAAACCGTCTCCGGTAGCGGACGATCGGCGCAGAACGAACTAAAGGGAGTAAATGTATGCGGGACGGGCAGACATTTAGCAAAGCCGCGGGCATAAATTTGTAGAACGCCGATATTCCCAGTCTTCCCTCACCTTTAAGAAACATATAAATACCTCGCCTTGAAGTCCTATCTCGACTCGGGCAGTAGATACAGCGCGAAAGAAAGAATAAAAATAAGAAGAGATACCGAAGGGAATCCCGAGGCCTCGTAGCTACGCCTTTCGAGAAGGCAAAGTGTATACGCGCCATCTATTGCACAGCGCTACCCTACGTACGCGAGTACTTGGCTATACCTATGCCTCATGTACATACAGTTAATACCAGACGTAGGAGTATTTCCAAAAGCAGTAAACCTGACCTTAAAGAAATTTCGGGGGATTAAAAATCGCAGTAAAAAAAAATCAATCCCAATAACCCATCTTTTCCAAAATTCAAATATCGAGACATAATTGTACGAATAAAAAAAAACTTCGATTAATTATTCACTCGATAAAGTCGATCGCTCTACAGGTCTTGGAAATACGCGAACTGGCAAACTCGCCGGCGAACGTCAGGGAGGAGATTTAGAGGCCGCGACGGCGGACAATGCACGACACCTGCAGCACCTCGCTCGCGAGGTCCATCCCGGCGTGTAGAACGCTAAAGCAATAGCAAGAGTTCTAGGTAGTACATCGTATCCGGAGAAGTTCCGCGCAGGTGGTCAGGGCCGGTGAGCAACGGTAGGACCCGTCCTTGAACCAGGTCGATGAATCCCACTAGGGCATAAGAACGGAAGGCGTCTTGGTCGATCGGATCGATTAACTATACAGTGAAATAGGCTAGAATGGGCAGAGTATGAAAAAGTTTTATTGTAGACAGTAGATGGATAACGAGGTGACACGAGGTTCATTAATATATGTTAATACATAACTCTTAACAGGGTTGGCTCTTGCAGCCTGAATCCGCAAGGCGTTATTAAGCTTGGCTAATGAATTATTCCATAGGCTCTTTTTTATTCAGCTCTTCGTAGCCCTGCTAAACCCCCTGCTGACGAAAGGTATACCAAACCACACCGAACGAAATCCCCAGACCCACCGTCATCCCCAACGACAATTCCCTATCTAAATATTAATTAGACAGCCAATTATAGTTTAGTAGCTATATCATGAATTTATAATTTTCGAACGCAATTAAAACCCAGCCAATTATCCGACTGCCAACGGCTCTCCCCATTAAGTACACCTACAAGGGTTATACCAATGGCCCTAACAGCTTCGCATTAGTCGAAGCTCGTATCGGAACGTGATTCGCTACTGCTGTCGTCACTGAAGCGTGGTTCACGAATTTTCATCGTTAACGTCGCTGGCTTCGCCAGTATCAAATAATACAACCCTATCGGATTTCTCTTTATCCTCTTCATGGCTATCCCAAGATCCAACACTTTCAGTACAGCATACCTGGCCTCGTTATACGTTATTTTCGATTCTTGCATGACATACGTCACGATTTCATCCAAAGTAGCACCGTTGACCTCCATCGTTATCGGGTGACCTAAAACCGTTATCACTTATCAAAACCAAATTACATTGATGATGGTAAAAATTTTTTGGACAAAAAATTTTCTTTTTTTCTCTTTAAATTTATAAACCAATAAGCAACCTCATTTACATTGGCACGAGGACTAATTGGATTAACCTGGACGTGCATCGGTATGCGTGCGACAAGAATAACATCGTATCGCTTTATGGCTCGTATATTAATCCCATAATTGAGAGATGGCCGTTCGCAGGCTGCCGAGACTCACGCAACGCACCGCAAGACAGGCAAGAAACGGCCATTATCTAAGATGAAGTGTACCAGGAACGCTAACAGACTGTCCTTTCGTTATTTCTTTCCTTCGCGAAACTTACAATTGGACAAAGTTATAATCGAAGGTGGATAATTAACGCTGTGTAAATTATTATACACAGATTGGTAACAGACTCGTCGTACTTGTCTATTAGCCAGTCTGAAGGATGCCTCTTTCGTGAGCCAGGTTTCGGTTTCTTTGGGTCCTTGTGCGAAAATTCAGTATCCCCGACGGTGAATCAAGAATGGATTAAACTACCCACTACCAAGATTGGACGTCATGGCCGGGCTTTTTTTCTTAGCACCGACAGGTGATTCCTGGTAATTGAAGGGTGCCAAGGTATGGCAAGGTATAATTATCGGTACGCACGGGGCTTCAGAATGTGGCGGCTTATTCAACACGAGAATAGAGACATTATTCGACTTCGTTTTAGAACGATAGTCACTTCGAGAACATCTGCCACTTATTATGTGGATATATCTTTTTTTTTTTTTTTTTTTTCAAAGATTCACTATTCTTTTTTATTTCTCTTACTTCTCTTATACGGGCATGTCGCTCGCACTGGGCTTACAGGACGATTTAGTTCTTTCAGGTCTTATCTTGGAAACGACTCTTTCACTGTCAGAGACTGAAACGGATGGTGAGATTTCTTGACTTTAAAAAGACCGTCATTCAACATCTCCGACTTCGCGTTCAGCTCGTCGTCGGTGAAGAGATCAAAGCTCACGCGTGTAAAGTCACGGATCGCTAATTCACGGATTACCTATGGTAATTGCAGTAGCATTTTATATATATATATACATATTGAAATTCTTGGTGAAACATAAAATAAAAATCATGACCAGTCAAAATTCTAAAATTGATCAACCCGAAAAGAGATCGCAGATGTGTATACCTTGAATAATAATAATAATCGCATAATGAAATAATTTAACGTAATTGTGCCCGAAGTAAACATAAACGAAAGTGCAGTTGAAATGGATGGTAGGCGTGCGTGAGTATACTTTTTCCTTGGCTCCGCGGCTAGTAGAATCTCAAAGAAGAATGAGAGGAAGGAATCTACCATCTCTCCGGACGGTCGTCACGCGACGAAAGGATAACTGAGACTAATTAACCCGTCACCGGCTAATTACCAGCCGCGAACACTCTAGGTGAGCAGGTATAGTCTGCGGTCTCGCGAAATCGGCCCCCGACACTCGGGGGCCTAGTCTTATAAAGACAGATCGACCGAGCGAAACAGGCTTCCAATTGCTACGGGGGAGCCAACTGCGATCGGATAAAGTCATTACGTGGTGGACAAGTTTCCAAGTTGGCAAGAGAGACGATTCCTGGCATCTACCGTCTTCTTCTTCTTCGGTGCTTATCTGCCTGCCCAGCACGCGAGTCTTATACCGAACGAGGAAGAGCGTCGATTGAAGCGGCTGAAGAGAATAGCTCAAGGTCACCGGACGTCAACGACAGTGCTTATCTATATCGGTAAGACGGGAGGGCAGTATTCTAAAATTGCATATACACCCGATACGACACTGTATGACTAAATTGAGGAACTGATTAAAAAAAAAAAAAAAAAAAAAAAAAAAAA